CTCTTGGAGAGGTTTGTAGGAACAGGAGTATGGATTGGCAATGCTGGATGAGCTGGTCTTATAATTAAGTATATTACACTCAAGAACAAAGAGGCAAATATACTTCTTGTATCAGTGCAGTTATGAATGGGAGGAGAGCAATTTTAAAGTGATATTCTCTAATCACTCAGATCTGTCCTGTTTTCATAGCTGTTATTTTCAATTTTAGTTAGTTCAGGGCATATCTTTTTCTCCTGAGTATCTCAAAATGCTCAGCTATTATTATATTTTGCTCTGAATTTTCTCTTTTTCCCCCTTTGACTTGCCAGACTTCTTTTGTCTGTCTTGTTCTCATTTCTTTTGTATGTGTGTCTGCAGGTGGCTTTTATAGCAAAATCTCATTCTGCTTTCCTGGCCTCCCCCCACCCTCTCCTGTTTTGTTACTGCATTGCCTGTCTCATTTGTGCTTTTCCTGGTGCCTGGAACCACTCATTTACTAATAGATTCCATTCTGTGCCTATGGAGTTCATTTCCCCTGGTTCCAAGCACTAAATCATTGCCTTCATTGTAGAGAAAGGAATGAATCCCCAGGCCAGTCTGCAGAGCAGGTTGCACTCTCCCAGGCTGAAGAGGAGGAGGGAAGGGGCTGAGATCAAGGGATGCCCATGGCAGGCTCTTGGCTCTGAAGCAGTGAACRGGTTTATTATTGCTGCAGCCTCCTCACAGCCCTTCCTCTAACCCTGAGCCTCCCATTGCTCTGGCAGCTTCTTGACAAGATTAATCAAACTAGGTGAGCACACAGTGCTCCTGTAGATAATGCAGAAATCAAACTTTCAGCTTGGAGGCTTTTGCCTTTCTTACCCCATTCGTACATGGGACTATGGCTGGTGTCAGGTGTTTTACACTGAATTCTTATTTGTATTTAATAATTGTTGACATGCCCATTGCTTGGTTTCTGAATGAAGTGCATTAATCAGATATAACACCATCTTAATTGGTCAAAGAGCAGAATAATTACAGTGACCCCATTACACTACTGTCGCGTGATGCACACTAAAGTAACTCCAAAATTCACAATCAGAGGAGGGTAGGGACACTCCTAAAAACCATTTTCACTTGAAATACGCAGTAAGCGGTTAACTGTAACATCTTCAATAGATGGATAGGCTGAGATGTAGGCCAAGGTAAGAAAGAGATAATTTTCAGTGAACAATTKTCATCAGCTGCTGGGACTGATGAAAAGAAGCCAAAGCCTCAGACACTTCCAAAGGTTCACTGTTGGTGGCTGGGATATAACTCCCTATTTCTCTAGCTATAGTCTGGTTTTGGTGCAAYTTCCTTCCAGTTCTTATTTTCTTCTCCATGTGTCTCCTAGCAGCTTTTCTACACCTAGAGGTCTTAGGGGAATTATAGTCAAAAACACTCCAGCTTAAGAAGAACTTCTTAATTTTTCTTTTTTTCCCTGTCTCTCTCATTTTCATCAGACATCTAGCTTGTGTGTGGTGAGCTCCAGCATATTTCAAACTCTTCCTTTTGGGCTGGTAGTAGGCAGACAGAGAGCAAACCACAAACATTTCATCCACAATAACCCCTCGAGGTCTCGGAAGGTCGGGAGGCATACTGGCATTGCATTCCCTTGCTTCAGCAAAATACAAGATAGGTTGGGAATRCTGCAGGTTTTTAACAATATCACCATTGCTAATCAGGTCTGATTATTCATGCTAGAAGCTGTGGCACAAACAGTTGAGTTTTTATGATGCTCATACTCTCTGCTTTTTAAAAATAAATACATCAATTGGCAGTGGCACAGTGCAGCTGGTTATATGAAATACTGTGATGGACAATAGCAGTGTCACATTGCCAAAAATAATCTATGAGCACAGCCACAGCTTTGGGGTTAAAGGTGTCCCCATTCAGTGAAGCAGTTATTTGCAAATACCAATCACAGAATATCTGGTTTATAAGTATAAAGGATTTCACTTGGCATGAGGGGTCACTGGTAAAGCTGGTAAAGAGTTTTCCGGTTCAGGTTTATTCCAACAGAAACCAATTCCTTGTATCACAAAATATTTTGAAGAATCCAACAAATTATTATTTCTTCCCCAAAATGTAACCCTTATTTTTTTTCAACTTCAGGAAAAAATTKAAAATCTCAAATTTCACATGAACATCTTGTGAAGTAGTTGTAGATAAACATCTTATTTCCTGAGAGAATCCCTATTCAGTATTGCTGAGATTGAATTAGTGTTAAATATAAGACAACGCTGCTGAGGCCAATCCCTTTTTTAGTTATAAATATGGATTGCCCTAAGGAAGGGCAGTGCAGCTCAAAACCTCCCAAATGCTCTCAGCTTACTGGGCTGCTGCAGTGGTYAGACTGGCACTGCCCACTGATCTGACTGCTGCAGAACTGCACCACTGCTGCTTCAGTTTTGAACATTTCCCAAACAGCATCCAAATATAGGTGAATTTACCCATCATCATGTTAATTATGTGGGGAGAAAAGGACACAAGGGTCTCATTTGCTCACTTATTTCTAGAAACCTAAAGATAAGGAATCAGATCGCTCAGTTCGGTGAGCTTGTGATTACATGCAACATTCACCAGTAATGGCCAGTTAGATTAAAATTTAGTTTGATTCAGATTTAGACAGATGTATATATCAAGCTGAGATTTCTCTTGTAGGCCCTAGGAGTTCATTCCAATGGGACTGCCTTTATAAATAGGAATCATTCTTCAATATGGTAAAATGCACTTTGGCAGAGGTGGCCTTTTGCTTAATTTACTTTGTGCAAATGGCCAAATGGATGAGTAAATTGCACCATGTCTGCTATGTGGTGATTTAGTCTTGGGTACGCATCTGGCTCTGAGTGAGGGGCACTGTGTTAGTCAGTGTGGCAGTGTAGGAATCATTGTCTTTAATTCACTTGGAATTCATAGTTCAGAAGGGTTCTGGGCTTTTAACAAGACAGGAGAGAAGTCAAAGATGATGTAGAAATTGAAAACATATTTCTTTACATCTTTACAAACACTCAAGAGAGCAAGCCCCAGCACCATCAGTAACCCAGCAACTGGGAAGCAACACATTCTGTCACTGAACACATGGACAGAGCCCGAGTTCACCAAATTCATCTTCCCCAGTACATTCCTGCGGTAACTTTCTTCACTATGTTTAAAGAAATAACCAAATAAAACTGATATGTCWAAGTAAGAAACATACAGAAAACCAGTCCTGGTTAACTACACCTTTTTTACGTTGTTTTTACAAGTCTCCATGGCTGGAAGTCATTTCAGTAGTGAGTATAGAAATACTGGTGCTCATAATATTTTCACCACAGTGAAATCATGATGTTTTGACAGATTGAATAATAAGAATTGCCACAAGGGAACTTTACAATAGTAGCATCTATGAAGAACCAATTTAGCTCTACTCAGAAAAATAATTAGGGACATTAGGGGTAAAAGGTTGACACTTTCCTTACAGCGAAGCTCCAACCCATCCTGGTACCTTCAGTGCTGCCCTTTCCTGAAATACAGCTGTGCTGGCATTGCTGCTCAAAAGTCACTCACAGCCAGAGAAAAGAGATATTTGGGACATATGGATGGTTTGGAGAGTGGTCAACTATTCATTGGTTCAAACCATTCCAGTAAAGGCTTTTCCTGGCTGTACTCTAAACATGGAATAGGAATGGCATATGATTTCGTGAGATCCTGCTCTAAGAGACAGGGAAGAACGTTAAAAAACACCTTTGGTTTCTTTTCTTTCCCAGCAGTAAATCTTTTAACTGACTTCAGAGCTCCTACTTAATAATGAGTTGTGGAAAGCCAGGTGGCTCAAATCCCTTAAAATCCTGGCAAACTGCAGGGATATTTGGCTCCTGCCAGATCCTGTGGGCATTTGGATGGCCCAATYAATCCATCACAATAATCTGCCTTTYCCATAACTGACCAGCTTTGTGTCTACATGATCWCTRCCTTGTGCTCCATGCTGTGRGAGTTACTSTATGGTCACCAAGACAGCACCASAGTCTCATGGCAGGAGGAAAATGTGCTTGTCTGTGGTTGCAGAAGCCATGAGAAAGTTCTAGAATTGACAATCAGCTCCCAATATCTCAAAATACACAATCTGGAGAAAGACTCAGCAAAGATACACTGATCATGTTGAATCGGTTGAAATTTAGGTGTGTAAATTGAGTGCAGAATACAATTATGACCACATGTTTTTGAGGCCGGAATTGAGCATTAAAAACAACAAAAAAAAAATATACCTTTGAAAGAAAAGTATACAGGCTGTATTCTCTACTATTAAATAAATCAGTTTCAGAAAGGATCTAGGGTGAGTGCTGGCATAAATCTGTATGTAAGCAGTAATTAGCTCCTGGTTTTATGTATGTCTGCTACAGAAAACATGATCATGGTATGACATTGTGATATCCACTGTCAGGGAAGAGGAGAAAACTTGAGGACAAAGTGTGTGCTTTGAAGAAATCACCTAATGATAGTCATGGGGCAAAACCCCCCATTTTGCACTGTGATGCTCGYCTACAGAACACGATATAATGCTGTGCAAATATCCAAGCTGCTCCTGGTTTCAAAAGCAGTGTAACTGTGTATGTGCAGCATATGAGCCAATTCAAATGAGTCTGGCTCTCCTGCTGCACAGAGCAACTCTACTGCCCTGTATTCAGTCTAACTTGGAACAAACTCCATGTTTGCTTTGTATCTTAATGCTGCAGCAAATTCAGTATTGTCGGTGTTCGATTGTTTTGAAAACCTAGTTTTTAGTTCAAAGATCCTTTTATACAAAAGTTATTGTGTGTTGCTACAATCACTMGTTAGCTTTTAATCATGCCATTAACTGTTTGAAGTCCAGGTCTGCTGTACTCAAACTCTCACTTTATAGTAAATACTGTTCTGTTGCATTAAATCTCAGGACATAATTTGTCTAATCTGTACTCAATAACAATGTGAAAACTTTCATTTACTTTTTACTTAATGCTTATCAATTTTCTTTAATACAGATCCACCCCAGATGAATAATGTCATACCAACATCTCCCCTCCTTCCTCAGATGGCACATCAACATTCATATCCCAGCCTGGGACAGATCACAAACCCATATGAGCAGCAGCCCCCAGGCAAAGAACTGAACAAGTATGCGTCTCTAAAGGCAGTCGGTAAGTAAGCGACGTGACGCGTGACTTCTCCTTGAGCTCAGCATGCTGCTCTKGCTGCTGGCAGCTGACATTCTGCCTCAGAGTTGAAAACCAGGTCTTGCTCATCTGGACTAGTTCATGACAGAATTTCATGTAGAATRTCCCATGGTAGAATTTATCATGGTTGGAAATGCAATGAAAATTAATGGGAGGACTGGAGTAAGGGATAAGAAATCTACATGCAAGAACTGGTGATGGTACAATGGGAGCTCATACATGCACACAAAACCTGCCCCTGCAAGGCATTTTTCACCAAGTTTCACCTGTGTTGCACACACAGTGTTCAGCTCCAGTTCTTTATGTCCCAAAACCTGTGAGTAGCAGGGAGCTGGAGCTGATGGTCCCTGTGGGTCCCTTCCAACTCGAGATACCCTGTAATATGGCTACACATGCATTGTGGTGTGTATTTCCCATAGCTATCTGCACCAACGAGAGAGAAAAACATCATCTTGTGATTTAGACACCTGCTAAATACTTCCAAAAAGAGAAGGCACTCGTACACTTCCGAAGTGAGAGCTTTTACATTTCCTGCAGGATGTGCATTAGTAGGTCACTGGAGGTTCTGAGATCTTACGATTTCAAACAATTAGTGCATGATAAAATGCCTAATAAAGGTCCCAGTGGTGGCTGTTTTCTGTGACTGATTAATATTGTTTTAATCAAATGAGAGAACATTCCTTAAAAAAACAGTTGAGAGGAAGAAAAAAGACAAGAGTGAGATAAAAATGCAACATAATTTTTCATATTGAATGTCTAAGTTATTGTAATAGTTTTCAGGGGTTGTATATACCTCCTGCACACCCTGTGATGACAGAAAACCCTTTCTAGACAATAATACATTAAGAACTGGGGGGGTCTTCCCACTAACTCTTTCACCTATGGATGTTAACATTGTTTCCCCATAAAGGTAGAGTACTGCCACACTCTGTTTCCCAACAGAGATACTCATCTAGCAAAGCAGCAGAACAGCTAAGAGCTTTCTGACTTAAGAATCCAGTCAGTATTCACCTCGCCGGTGAAAATGTTTCAGCACAAACTGCCATTGCTTTATCTGCACTTCAGGATATCAGACCTCCAACAAAATGTGCATCCAGGTCCCATCTCAAATAGCTCCATTTTGCTTTAGCCCATTGGTTTGTATCTTACAAGTGGCATTTTAAATCTGTTCATAAAAACAAGGGTTAATARCTTTCTGCTGGATTTTGAATACCAAGCAGCTTTACAATTCCTTTTTCAAGAGGTGATACTGGGTAATGATGTGGTGATTATCACAGATTTACGCAATGATATTGAGCTTCTTTTTCTGTGTCAGTTTAGGTCAAGCCAATTATCAAAGCTAAAAGGTATTTAAGCATAACAAAATGAGAGATGAAACACTCTAAGAAACTTCTCTCATCTGCCCAAGAGCTACTGAATGTGCCTTCCTGAAAAAATTATTAAATTAGAACTTAGATATTTCCTGTGTGTCTAAGTACAAGTTTTTAAAACAGCTAGATTATAACCATACCGTTAAATCAACCTTGAAAGATTGTGCACTTCAGCTCCAGAAGTTGTATAATGCCTCTAAGAATTTTAAACTAAATTAAACATAACTTTCAGGGACATTTTCTTCCATGAGGATTGCACCATCCTCCTGTGCTTTGCCCCTACCCTTCTCTCCTTTTTTCCCCCCAGACCTACTGGTCTCAGACTACATTAGCCAAGTTTCAGACACAGGTGAATTTTCACAAGTACAAAAGTGCTGCATTGTGAGCCGAACTTCTCAGCAGAAAACAACAGAGGTTTTGAAACTGCTACACATTCCCACCATCTGTCTGGACTTATGGAACAAGAACTAAATATACTCAGTTTTCAACCATTTTCAGGAATCTCAAGGCCATGATTCCTGCCAAGAGTACCTCTTGAGTACATCCCAAGGTCACAAAGAGGTTTTTCCTTGATGCCAGCCAGACCCAGGTCTGTGACCACACGGACGTGCACAGTGCAGGGTTCATGTTGGCTTTAGAGAGCTCTGACAGGAAAGAGGAGCTGGCCTCCATCAAACCCACCAATACAAATCAAAACTGACAACATCTTTTGAACAACCAGACATAGACTGACTTCACCCTGACCTCATGTCATGGGGTAAAGGCATTTTTTTGCCTGCCAACATTCAGAGTTATATTTATGGATCCCCACAGCAGGTTAGTGAGTGTGTGCAGCCCATTTCCTTTTGCATTCATTGATAGTGGCTTGAGGGTATATTCATTTACCAGAACAGAAACTTAATAAGGGATGTGCTCTGTATTTTTCCATGCATTTGAGGCAAACCATATTCATTTAAATGCCCCTTACTCTGCATGATCCCATTGTTCAGGTGTAGTGCACTGTGCTTAACCCTTTTCTTTAAAAAGGGGTTAGAGGAAGAAGCGTTTCTAGCGCTTTGTGGCAACAGGACATTCATATACCTCATCAGAATGTGGACATAAGTGGTAAGAAATTTAGATAACTGAAAAGGTGAAGCTTTACCAGAGGCAGTATTAAATTAATTTCTACGCAGCTGCTTTCTTCTGAACTACAGATGTCCTAAAAATTTGGCTAATTTTAGAGCTACTAAAGTGAGCTACTCGTTCCTCAGTGACTGTCTGCTCTGTAAATTCAGTTTATGGAAAAGTAGAGAGTCACAGTAATCTCTGTTTTGATCATGTTCAGGTTCTCCATTAAACTGAGAAAATATTCAAGTGCTTGTGTAAACAAGGGACAAGAGTGCCCTTGCTATTAATCTGCACTGTGCTAGTGAGTGACAATGACCCACACCTTGGCAGTGAGASCACGCTGATGCCAAGGAAGCAATTAAAGCTACACCTCAGACTCCAAGGGACAGAGCTGAACAGAGTGTGGCTGGAAGGTGGGTTGTTCCTGCACAGACAAGGTGCAGCATGTGCATTGCAGAGTGTCTGATTCAGCACAACAGGGAAGAGTTGAAAAGACTGCTGTGGATCTATTTTATTAAAAAAGCTAAACATTTTTACTTGAACAAGCTCAAATTGCACAACCAAAGCCTTATYCACTCAATGGAAGAGAATGTTTTCCTCATTTGTTGTTAGGAATTCCTTTATTTGTTGCAGCCTCTAAAATTCCTTAAGTACTGACCATGGCTGTTGACCAAATTCACCTTTTCCCCTTCTGGCCTGCTGGCATTTACATCTCTGAACGATGTGGGGACATTCTGTGCCTCTTTTCTATTCTCAGATGAGTGCTTGGAGTACAGCAATATACCAGTGATTTGAGCTGTGCTTACTGTTTTCCTCACTGCACTAGAATTTTACTCTCCTTCCACCTTGGCACACACCCACCAGAGAATAATCAGAAGGCAAAGGACCACTTGGAAAYGAGACAGAGGACACACATTTCCTGAAAAAACAGATAAGAAATCTACATCCTAGCATCTCTAGCCTACCTGGCTGACTGATCTGACTTGTTGACTTGTGTTGACAGGCACACTGTTCATCCATTATTTTTCCATTTTCAAGCCACACAATCTCTTTTCAACAGAGCCAAATTTTTCCCACCTCAGAATGTGAGAGACTGAGGGAGAAGGGTTAACGAGCAGGGTTAATTAGCTCCAAAGCCAGTCCCAGCAGTAGTGGTCATTGAACATTGTGTGGCAATAAATACCCAGTGTTTAGAAATTTCAATTTTTTGATCACCTGAGACAACGTGATCCTGGTTTCCTTCAGTGCTTTTGCAGTATTTGATTATTTATGTGAAAAGTGCAGAAAGAGGTTTTTCTGCATAAATTATTCTTATTTCCAGTTCATCAACCGTGTTTTTCCTCCATGCTTAAATGGTTATTGCTCACTTGAGCAATACTGACATGCCTCAAGCTACAAGTGGATGGAGATCTTGTAGCTGAACACCTTCATGAAATTCAAGTCCCAGGACATACAAAGGTAGCTCATCACAAATTTTTATGCACATCATTTGGACACTCATTTAGAAAGCATGAACAATCCAACTTTAATTTCCACTTTGCTAAGCTGTAACAGTTGTAGTCCGTCCTGTTGCTTCAGAGTTTCCTAGAGCTCAAACTGGCCTCATTATCCTGAYGTATTAGTTATTTATTTAGCCACTCTGTTTCTGAAAGCCCAGCTCATGGTTAATTTTCTTTCCTGAATATCAGGGAGTGCAAAGTCACTAAATATTTTTAACCCTTCTTGCAGAAATTAAAAAATACCCCAAACCCAACTTCTAAATCCCAGGAGGATGATTTAGAAGGAAATGATCACTGAGCTGCTGGAAAGGTGCAGAGACATACAAGTGAAAACTGAGAATACAAATATTTCTGCAGTTTAACATGATTTTAAATTTGTTTCCTAAACTTTCTTCTTCCCTTCCCACACACAAACATTTGAGGAACTTACTGGACRTTGTAAMAAAAAAAAACAAAAAACAAGGAATAAAAATACAGTGGCAAGAATTCCTCCCTGAAACAGACCCAGAAAACCTTCCCCAATGCTGGGAGTTGTTAGTCTCCTGTGGGATTAAATKAGATCTAATTGATTTGATATAGTGAAACTAGAAGCATATAATTGGCAGCAGACCCACCATCACATCTCTGAGTCTACAGCTCCCAGCATTTCTTGAAGCCGCACAGTTCTTTGATCCCAGAGGAAACATTAGACAGTGATCCAGCTCTGCTTGCAGCTGCAAAACTGCAAAGTGAGATTCTGCAAATACGACACGCAGAGAATAAATATCTCCTGGTCAGGTCCCTGCAGAAAGCAGCGTGGCCACGAGTGTGCCAATGCACCAGGCAACCGCTCCCTCAGACAGGTGAGGCACGAGAAAACCCTGCTGTTCTGTGTCCTCGGACACACAAGGGTCCAAAGGGAACAGCACCCCAGGGCTGCCTCTGGGCTCTTCTCTTTGAACCATCCTGTCTGATGGGAAATCTGCTGCTGCCTTCTCCTGAGCTCCAG